AGAGAGAGAGAGAGAGAGAGAGAGAGAGAGAGCTGATTTGTCTTCTCTGTTCTGTTGAGTGTTGCGAAGGTGATTGAGTTCAGTGAGGGAGAAGAGGATAGAAAGACCAAGGCATTGATCTCTTTTAGCATCATCATTATCGGCTATCATAGCTAGCTGGTATAACGTGGGTTGTAAGGGAGGAAAAGGGAGAGAGAAATGGAGATGATGGAGACGATGGCGGCGGCGGCGGCGGTGGAAGGAGGAGTGGTAGTGATCAGGGAGTACGAGGCGGAGCGGGACAGGGTGGGAGTGGAGGCTGTAGAGCGAAGGTGCGAGGTAGGGCCCAGCGGCGGCGGCATGTCCCTCTTCACCGACCTGCTCGGCGACCCCCTCTGCCGCGTCCGCCACTCCCCTCCCTTCCTCATGCTGGTCCGTACTCCCTTCTTCATCTTCTTCGTCTTCTTCTCCAACTTAATAATTCGTTTGTCCTTTTTTTTCCTCTTTTTTTTTTCCTGCTAAATTGTTACCACCACCACCCCACCCCCCAGTTGATCGACCCACCCCTCGTGTCATTTCCTACTCCCTGTGAGTAAATTCTCATTGTTGTCCAAAGGTAGCGGAGGTGATATGTGGGTCGGAGAGCAGGGAGATCGTTGGGATTGTGCGCGGGTGCATCAAGACCGTGGCCTGCGGCGCCCGGAAGCCCCACCGCGGCTCCAGCACTACCACCGCCCCCTTAACCTCCCTCGCGAAGCACCACACCGCCCCTTCCCCCATCTATGCGAAGGTCGCGTACCTCCTCGGCCTCCGCGTCTCCCCCGCCCACCGGTAACTCTCACCTCCCACCTCTTGATGGTTAATCTCAATCGCAACAGCCTAATGAACTTTGGTGTCGATCGACAGACGACGAGGGATCGGGTTGAAGCTGGTGGAGAGGATGGAGGAATGGTTCAAGGAGAAGGGGGCGGAGTACGCGTACATGGCGACCGAGAAGGACAACGAGGCTTCCATCCGCCTCTTCATGGGGCGGTGCGGCTACTCCAAGTTTCGCACCCCGGCCATCCTCGTGCAACCGGTGTTCGCGCACCGCCTTACCCTCCCCCGCGCCATCGCCATCATCCGCCTCCCCGCCGCCGACGCCGAGGCCCTGTACCGCCGCCGCTTCGCAGCCACAGAGTTCTTCCCGCGCGACATCGACGCCGTCCTCGCCAACCCGCTCTCCCTCGGCACCTTCCTCGCCGTCCCCGCTGGCTGCGCCGCGGCGGCCAGGTGGGAGGGGGCGGACGCCTTCCTGGCGGACCCGCCGTCGTCGTGGGCGGTGGCGAGCGTGTGGAACTCCAAGGAGGTGTTCCGGCTCGAGGTGCGGGGCGCGGGGCGCTGGCGGCGGGCGCTGGCGCTGGCGAGCCGGGCGGTGGACTGGGCGCTGCCGTGGCTGCGGATCCCGTCGGTGCCCGACCTGTTCCGGCCGTTCGGGATGTACCTTATGTACGGGCTCGGCGGGGAGGGCCCCGCAGCGGCGGCGTACGCGCGGGCTGTGTGCCGGCACGCGCACAACATGGCGCGGACGGACCCGGGGTGCCGGGTGGTGGCGGCGGAGGTGGCGGCGTGCGAGCCGCTCCGCGAGGGGATCCCCCACTGGAGCCGCCTCTCGTGCGCCGAGGACCTGTGGTGCGTGAAGCGCCTCGCCGAGGAGTATAGCGACGGCGCCCTCGGCGACTGGACCAAGGCCCCGCCGCCGCCGACCATCTTCGTGGACCCCAGGGAATTCTAAAGCCGACGGCGGCGCTTCGTCCTCGCCGTCGCCAGGTTTACCTCGCTCGTTAGCATCTGCCTATCGTAACGGTGGGACCGGGACATCCGTTTTGTAAAGTGGCGTGGCCTTTCTATAACGTTTTCTGTTCTCTTTCGAGATTTTGGCAACTGTTGGGAGAATGAAAGGGACTGAGATATGGATGAAAGGGTGGGGGATAAAAGCGGGGATTGAGTGTGGAAAGATGTGGATGAAACCTATCTTCTTTTCTTTCTACCTTTCTTTTTTTCCTCTCTCTCTCTCTCTCTCTCTTCCTCTTTCTACCGCTTCTTTATCTTTGTCCTTTTTAAGAGGGAATTTCTCTAGCTTCAGATCTTATGCTCTCTTTTCTGGATGGTGATATGACATTTGTTCCAATACGTTCTAACTCTGGTACTTTGTTGGTGCCCTGTGGATTTAAAGTTAAGGATTCAGATATGGCATCGAGGGGTTGAGATCGTGCTACAGCACTCACATACCGGTCTTTTTGAGCTATGATCTAGCAATTTGCATCACGTGCTCCATCACTGGATGCTTCGGATCTCGATGGAAAGGCAGGTGATCGTCTCTCGCCCGTTCCCTTAGGCGGAATAATTGGACGTCACCTCCACAAAGATTCGATTTATAATATGATTTCGGTCAAAAGGAAATCCAGGGAGGATCCTAATATCTCCTCTCTTTTCAGCTTGCCTATGCATTCTTGGAATCACTTATAATGAGTTCAGCTTAGAACACACAAGGAGTTGGTTTTCAATAATTTCTTGCTCAATAAGAATATTTGCTAACTATAAAAACACTTGTTTCTTATCAATCTGATTTTTATCTGAAAAAGAACAATTGCGAAGATACTGGTATTTATTCCCCCTATTTCTTGGTTTGACTTTTAATCATGAGCTTCTTTTATGTTTCTTGTGAATAATAGATTGAAATTGTTTTTTGTCTAATTCAAAAACAAAAAGCTTACTTATATTAGAAGTCATGCAAATATAACTTATAAAGAAGCCTAATTGCGATTCAGAAAACAGAGTTTTAGGAGTAATTTTAGCTTGTTAATTATAAAAGAAACAGTACCTGGAAAGAATATGAAGCTTCCCCTTTTTTCTTTACTTTTTTTTGCTAGCACCGACGATGATGTGTCCGACCTATCAATGAACAAACACATTTAAGTCAGGTTATGGTCGATGCTGGTTAAAAAATCACAAGCAAGATTTTGGGCAGCACATGTTACGTTCCTCAGATAAGTTTGAAGATAGTTGGGGTCTGTTCTCTATATAACATGAGTAGGGAATGTTTCTAAATATAAGCTGTGATGCCACACTTCTCCCACAAGTTAGAACTTGATAGAAAGAGGTCCAACTGATGTTTATTTTCTATGCCACTGAATCACTTTCTGTGAAGCCAAACCCCTCCACATACCACAACATATCAGATGTTCAAGTCGCAGTGCAACTTGTTGTTAGAATTTTAAAGAGTCACACATGTATAATTAAATGTGTTAAGCCATTATTTTGATTAGCCAAAATTAAAGTGATCCAATTAAAGTAAAGTT